CTAAACACAAATAAAGTCATATACAACAAACCAACTACCTTAATGGGGAAAAGCTGAAATTTTTTCCCTTAAGAATGAGAACAAGACAAGGATACCCACTCTTGCCTCTCCTATTTAACATATTATTGGAAGTACTAGCCAGAGCAATTATGGAAGAGAAAGAAATAAAGGGTATCCAGCTTGGAAAAGATGAAGTCTAAATGTCCCTGTTTGCAGATGATATGATCCTAAATATAGAGAAGCCTAAAGACTCTACAAAAAAAACTCTTAAGAGTTCATAAATGATTTCAGCAAAATTGCAAGATACAAAATCAACCTGCAGAAATCAGTAGCTTTTTTATACTCTGACAATGAACTAGCAGAAAAAGAAATAAAGAAAGCTAGCCCATTTACAGTAGTCACACACAAAAAACCTGGGAATAAAAGTTAACCAAGGATGTGAAATAGCTCTATGATGAGAACTACAAATCACTGCTGAAAGAAATTAAGGAGGATACAAGAAGATTGAAAGATATTCCATACACTTGGATTGGAAGAATTAACACTGTGAAAATGCCTGTAAGTGATTCTACAGATTCAATGCAATCCCCATCAAAATACCAATGACACTCTTCACAGAAATGGAAAAAACAATCCTAACATTCACATTGGACAATGAAAGACCTTGAATAGCAAAAGCAATCTTGAGTAAAAAAAATAAAGTCAGAGGCATAACACTACCTGTCTTCAAATTAAACTACGAAGCTATAGTAACCCAAACAGCATGTTACTGGCATAAAAACAGACACTTGGACAAATGGAACAGAATAGAAAACCCAGAAATCAGCCCATATACCTACAGCCAACTGATCTTCAACAAAGGCACCAAGAATGTACACTGGGAAAGACTGTCTCTTTGATAAATAGTGCTGGGAAAATTGGACATCCATATGTAGAAGAATGAAACTAGACCCGTATCTCTCACCATATACCAAAATCAACTCAAAATGTGTTAAAGAATTAAATATACATCCTGAAAATATAAAACTCCTAAAAGAAAACATAGGGGAAAC